CGGCAGCGTTGGGAGCCCTGCGGGGGGTGGAGCATGGGAGGGCCCCGCGGGGGGCGGGGCAGGGGAGGGCCCCGCGGGGGGGCGGGGCAGGGGAGGGCCCCGCGGGGGGTGGAGCATGGGAGGGCGCGGCAGGGGAGGGCCCCGCGGGGGGCGGGGCAGGGGAGGGCCCCGCGGGGGGTGGAGCATGGGAGGGCGTGGCAGGGGAGGACCCCGCGGGGGGCGGGGCATGGGAGGGCCCCGCGAGGGGCGGGGCATGGGAGGGCCCCGCGAGGGGCGGGGCATGGGAGGGCCCCGCGGGGGGCGCGGCAGGGGAGGGCCCCGCGGGGGGCGCGGCAGGGGAGGGCCCCGCGGGGGGTGGGGCATGGGAGGGCGCGGCAGGGGAGGGCCCCGCGGGGGGCGGGGCAGGGGAGGGCCCCGCGGGGGGCGGGGCAGGGGAGGGCCCCGCGGGGGGCGCGGCAGGGGAGGGCCCGGCCACATCGCCCGCCCTCTGAATGAACATGCGCGGCCCCGCGAGGCGCCAGGGGTCAGGCGCAGGCAGGACGCGCAGCGGAGTGCGGGAGGAAGGTGAACCCAGGTCACAGTGAGGGGGTCCCAGCCGTGACAGCCGCCACCAGAGACAAGAACACAGGCGAGGCCACCGAGACGCCTCATCGGCCGTCACATCCGCCATCCACGCTGGTCTCGCGGGGAAGGCCCGAGTAGCGACAGGAAGGAGGCTTCCTTTCCGCCTGCCCGCCTCTCTCCGCCCACCGACCCTGCCTGTGGAGACATCTAGTGAAAATAACAGTCAGGTTTAAGTGTCACCAGTGCCACTGTTTCTGAGGGCTTGGATCTAAACCTTACGAACCAGCATATTGAACAACATCTAACTTTATTTCTAGGAGGAAATTTAAGACCACGGTTTCCGTGCACCAGGGATACCTGGAGAGACAAAGTGAGTGATTCTCCCTGTGGCAAAGCGGGCAAACGTGGCCTCAGAGACCTGTGAGGAGTCAGGAGTCATCTTCCGGGGGAGACAGGACTTCACTGAGGAAGCTCAGGGCAGAAGCTGCAAGGAGCCAGGAGAGAAAACCCCCTCGGACCACGCCAGGAAATGAAGGGAAAACGCAGACGTTTTATCAAGTTTACTATAAAAAACGTTAAATATCAAGCCAAAGAACAGTCTACTAAGGCTTTAGCAGAACCATAGCTCAGGCTGTTTGGTAAACACCGCCAAATCTTAACCGAAGAGGCGTCGGTTGGGATATGGCAGCGAAGATGCTGGCCTAGGAGGACAGTCACCTGTGAGGGATGTACCCACAGCTGTCTGAGCCAACGTGTAAGGTTTAAGCCACTTGTTTTCCACACAAACTGACCCTTCCCCAGGAAGGGGGCCAGTGAAGAGCAGAAGACCCCACAGGAGGGGCTGCTGGGAAAGGGTGACCCCCTTAGGGTCTGATATGGGGAGATGAGGCGGTTCCCAAGCAGATGCAGTGGCCCCTGCTCACCTTCAACTATCCAAGGCCTCCATCGTGTGAGGCCCACAAGGACAGTGCCAGCGACACAGGAAGGAACCACCTCGTACCTTAACAAGTGACAAGCCACCGCACACCCTTGATTTGAAGAGCTAAGTATTCACTCTCATCAAAAATACCCTCAGAGAAAAACCATGCTGGTAAGTATGACGTCAAATTTCATAGAGCGTGATGTGTGAAGCATAATTTACGCTGAAATATAAGGTTGCTCAGTCTCTCAGTCGCGTCTGACTCTTTGCAACCCCATGGACTGCAGCACGCCAGGCTTCCCTGTCCTTCACCAACTCCTGGAGCTTGCTCAAACTCAAGTCCATTGAGTCAGTGATGCCATCCAACCATCTTATCCTCTGTTGCTCCCTTCTCCTCCTGCCTTCAGTCCTTCCCAGCATCTGGGTCTTTTCCAGTGAGTCAGCTCTTTGCATCAGGTGCCCAAAGTATTGGAGCTTCAGCTTCAGCATCAGTACTTCCCATCATTATTCAGGGTTGATTAACTTTAGGACTGACTGGTTTGATCTCCTTGCAGTCCAAGGGACTCTCAAGAGTCTTCTCCAGTACCACAATGTGAAAGCATCAATTCTTTGGTGCTTAGCTTTCTTTATGGTCCAACTTTCACATCTGTACATGACTACAGGAAAACCATAGCTTTGACTATACGGACCTTTGTCAGCAAAGTGATGTCTCTGCTTTCTAATACACTGTCTAGGTTGGTCATAGTTTTTCTTCCAAGGAGCAAGTGTCTTTGAATTTCATGAAGCATAATATACAGGTTAAAAAAAAAACACATATAAGTGCATGGATAAATGTGTCTTCAGAAACTAAACAGTTGATGGTCAACATCAACCAATCTTTACAATAATGAGAAGATATGAGACGACACTGGGAAGAAGAAACAGTGGCCAGGGAGCTAACAGCTCTGGCTGGATGCACTGGACGCACCACTGACTTCTGCTGGTCTTCACGACCACATCTGATCAAAGCGGACAACTTCCCAGTGAACCTTCTCGTCTAAAATGCTATACACTGAAAACGGAGGCTGCCTAACTTCTAACAGTGCATCTGGACGCAGTCATCAGGGAGTGTTCTGGAAACTTCCTCAGCTGGTCTGCTGCATTAAAGATACCACGTGAGGTGGGGACAGGCCAGGCGTGGGCTCGCCTCCCTCCCAGGCCACGTCCCAGCAGGGAGATTCCCGGCTGAGCTGAGGGGTCTACACCCTCTGCGCCCGGCCCAGGCCCGAGGGTAGGCGGGCCTGGCATCCACCCACTGCCCAGCACCCCGGGGGGCAGACAGCCTGCGTTAAAGAAAGGCATTTCCCCTCCCAACTGCGGGCTGTAATTCTGATTTCTGACTACAGCAGTGCGTAGTCTTTTCTGAGCTCTGACCGTGTTAAACCTTGGGCTTGGGAATGAGACTTCCCCGCTGGTGCTGGTGGGGTGCACACGCTCACACGTAGCACAACCACCCCCGGTCTGTTACACGAGCTGTTCGCCTCAATGCGGTTAGAAACACAGAAGGGAGAATATGTAAGGAGTATTTTTAAGATTATTCCAGGAGCTAGGCTGCCTGGTTTGGGGAAACGCAACGACTTCTTCAGATCATTTTCTGCTCTGGAGCCACTGACCTGGGCCTTTCAGCCTGTGCAGAGCTAGTGAAATTAAATGCAGGACCAGAAGCAATGATAAACATCAAGTTACTCATGGGCTAAGCAAGAAAGCATGCAGTGGCAATCCTCCTAAAAACATCAAATATCTGGGCTAACAGAAATGGAACTTTGCAGTAAACTATTCCCCGCCCCCCTAGATAACTGACTACTATAAGCCAAGGGTCCGTGAGGAAAGCCTTGGAAAGCCAAGTAGCATGATGTGAGACCCATTAACTCCTAAAGACTGATTTCTAATCTCAACAGAAATACAGAATTTGAACATTTGGAAGATAGCTGAAATGGTTGTTTCTGAGAAATTGCACAGGTATGCTAAGAAGTCTATTTAGATTATTACTTCAGTCACAATCATCAGATTATAGAATGAAAATAATAAGAAGTCATATATGACCACATATAATGTGGCTATTAAAAGTTTATTAGATTAAAAAAATCCTTAAAATTGGATATGATTGTATATTTAAATACCTGGGCCACATAACAGGTATAAAAACATTCAGATCACTTGAAATCACCATGCTTATCTCTGGAATTTGTTTAAGGTATATGCTATTTCATTATTTAAGTTCATATAAACCAAAGTGTTCCCATCCAGAAAGTAAGCATCAATATAGCATTGTGAGAAAATCCAGTGTGCTGAGGAAAGCCACTTTCCGTTGATAAAAGCCTCAGGTAAACGGAAAGATGTACTATGCAAAACAGCAAGCTGTTTGGCACAAAGGACCTTGTTTTTTTACTACCAGCATTTTCCAATTGTCATTTCTGATGATCTGTTTACAGAGATCGTGCGGCAATCAGGAGTCACCGGTTTATTTACGGAGTTTCTAAATAGCTGATTTTCAGATCCTCAGTAAGGGAAGTAAACATATTACCACAGGACAAAGATGTTTGGTTATTATTCATCTTTCATGGTGTCTTTTTTTTTTCCAACTTCATAATCAAATTTCTACAGTGGTTAATATGAAGGTTAAAGTTGTACAAAAACATGGTTGCGGTGCATGCTTTTACATTACAAGCTATTTCTTGTTTTCTGTTTCTAATGCAGCATTTTGCTAGGATACGTGGAGAACTGGTTCACGCTGCACATTCCCTTTCATGTAAGTTCAATCAAGCACCCTTTTCTGGATGGTTCCATGCACTCATTCAGGACTGAAGGAAGGACTGAGCATCGCTGAGGCAAGAGCCGCTCCCGAGGAGCCCAGCTCTCCTGAACGCAGGCGCTGCAGGCCCGGTTCTCCCGGGTTCCTTGGCCTGACATGGACACGTGCAGTATCAGTGGACACTGGTTTCAGGACAGCCTTTTCTGCGTTGAGAGCGCCTTGACTTGGTCCCTTTTCTTCTGTCTTCCTTGGATAAAGCACAGCCTCTGCGTGACTGCAGGCCCTGCAGGCAGAGGCTGGGCACGCAGAGCACGATGCCTGGAGCGCGCGCGTCCTGCAAACCAGGTGAAGTTCGCTCAGACGTGCGCACGCCTGCGCTCCCCCCGCGCTCCTGGGTGGGCAGAGACCCGGGAGACGCAGCCACCAGGCAGCACATCTGGGCTTTCTATCAGGCCTTTAATTAATCCTCAGTGAGAGCCGAGCTATGACATTTCGACTGGGCAGGCTCCAGCTCTGGACAGGCCTTGATTTATGGTGACGGAGTCTCCACCGACTGTGATTTATTCCAGCTCTGGGGTGAGGGGTGAGCCCTGAACAGAGCTGTGCTGTTGAGCGTGGAACACGTGACGCGGAGACAGGCCCTCCAGGCTTCGGGGCCGCGGGACAAAGGAGCGGACGGGAATGGCCTTGGAGAAAGCCATTTCCAAAATATCCAAGATTCAAGTAATGCAGGGTTGTAAAACAAACACCATCGTGGATGAGAGAGACGGGCTCCTGAAAGAGCTGGCTGACAGAGCCTGGGCCGGGGCGAGGCCTCATCTCTGGGAGCAGCAGGACGCTGGACCTCTTCTGCTGGACCACCGGCCCTCCCCCGACCCCTCTGCAGAGAAGCCTCAGGACGACTTCTCGTCGATGGAGGTAGCGAAGAGCTCCAGCACTGACTGTCTCAGGCAGACACAGTAAGTCAACAGAAGGCTTAGCTGTTTGACGAAACAAAGGAGCCACCAGATTTAACTAATGAATTTGCATCTCTTGTGGGAAGACCGCTCCCCTGGCTGAGGTCTGGACCCTGTGCTGTGGGTGCCAGCACCTGCTTGAGCTCAGCCATGGTGACCCAAGTGCCAGCGAGATGCCAGCCCGGCCCAGCACAGCACCCAGACCATGGCGGGAGCCTCACCAGAGGGGCTCTGCCCCCGAGGACCCTGCTCCCCAGCTGGAGGGAGACAGCCTGGAGCACGCAGGGTCCTGGCCGCGTGTCACAGGGAACACATGGCTGACGAAGCAAGAGGGTCAAAGACCCATCAGAGGCAAAGTTACTGTGCCCCTTGAGGGGAGACAACAGTAGGAAACGGGGTTGGGAGCAGAGGGAAGCTCTCCAGAGGTGTGGGGGCCAGCCCGCGATTGACGCCTGCCTGCAGAATCTGGGGTGGCGCTGCCACGCGCTCCAGGGAAGTTACCTGGCCACACTGCTACCGAAACGCTTCATCACCAAAACGCTAATAATGCTCGCTTTGCGGGGCGGGGCTTTCTCCAGCTCCCCCACGCCGGACGCGGGCACTCCTGGTGCTGACGACAGGTGTGGGGCTGCCAGAGCACCTACCCTCAGCGTGCGCTCCGCCGCCAGCACCCAGGAGTGCCTGGAGACAGCGCTCTTCACCGGGCCGCTAAGGGACAGCGCTGGGCCTGCCGGCGGGGGACACAGATGGACGGTGCTGTCCAGAGAGCCGCACACCGGGAACTTCTGGCCCGAGTGGCTTCCCGGAGGCTCGCTGGGAGTGGGTCGTGTGGGTGCGGGTCCCCCTCCTGCTAGGAGGTTCCACTGGGCTGGGATAACCAAAGAACCCCCAGATTCTCAGGGACGATTTAGGCCAAACCAGAACCCTAACTGCTCTAAGTCAAACAGCCAGACATGCATTTTGTCACTGAAGCCTATTCTAATTTTTACAACTCCTTAAAAAATCTACAGTTAAAGTTTTAGCTGAACATGTCTGTTCACCAATGCTGGGGATCTAGGTCTCCGCATCTCAAGGACATGCTAGTTTCTGGGAGGTTCTGAGGAGGCTGGGGGTTGCAGAGCTGGGCTGGGCGATGCCGCCGATTCTCCAGACCCGCGAGCCACAGGTGTACGCGTCCAGGGCTTGTATGACCCGAAATGCGAGTCCCGCAATTCCCCTCCACCCCCCCACCCCCCCGCGCTCTCCCCAGGCTGTGCTGGGGAACAGGGGGCTCGGTCCTCCAGGAGCCCCTCTTAGTCACAGCAGACCGGCAGGTCCAGCCTTCAGGTCTGGGGCTCCCTGAAGCATGGCCACAGCCCCTGCTACTCGTCAGCCCCGTGTCCAGCTGTACCCGGGGGGGCCAGTCGGGGCAAGCACCTGCAGCTGGCGGGGGAGCGGACGGGCAGGGCAGGGCGACCCTTGGCCCGACCCCTGACCCTGGACGGTGGGGAGCGGTCCTTACCGCTGGCACCGGAGAGCAGGAAGACGCGGCCACGGCGCTCGGTCCACAGGCCGGGGCCGCGCCCGTGCACGAGCGCCTCCTTCTGCGCATGTGTTTTCTCTGCCCCGGGATCCCAGACTTCCAGGGGAAGATGTGCCTTACCTCTGCACTAACTTATCTCTGCTCCCCCGGCCCCAGGTGGCTTAAAGCCCCATGTGCTGGGGGGATGGATGGCAAGTCTAGGGCCACAGAGTCCCACAACCCAGTTTGCAAACCTGGATTTAACAAACAAAGGTGGCACAAAGCAATAAATTGTGACCTATGACTAGAGAGAGCTTTCTAAAATAACTTAAGTTTTAAGAAACCAATAAAAAAGTACTAAAGTATTAGTCGCTCAGTTGTGTCCAACTTTTTGTGACCCCGTGGACTGCAGCCCGCCAGCTCCCCTGTCCATGGGATTCTCTAGGCAAAAAACTGGAGTGGGTTGCCATTTCCTCCTCCAGGGTAAGAAACCAATAACGGTGGATAAAAAAGTTCTCCCTGTTTATCACAGGGCATTATAGTCAATATAACGTTGGTCAATATCCTGTGATAAACCCTAATGGAAAAGAACATGGGAAAGAATCTATACACGTGTGTAACCGAGTCACTCTGCTCTGCAGCGGAAATTAAGACAATGTTGTAAATCAACCCTACTTCAACAAAACAGATTTGAGAGAGAGAGAAACCAAAGGCTGAATACCTATTTTGGGCCATATGTCGATGAAACAAGGAAGTAAAACAAAGTCTCCTAGGAAAAGTCGGTCTTAAAGGGGGCTTCTGACTAAACCAGGAGAACAGTTTATTTATGGAACTTTCCCTGGTGAACTGGTCAGAGAGCTTGCAGAGCACGTTTCTGTGACCTGCTCCTGCATACAAGCGGGCCCGGGCCCAGGACCAGTGTCAAAGTCCCTCCCTAGGGGCCACTGTGACCTCAGGGGACCGACACATGCAAAAACACAAACAATCTTAAATTGATAAGCATCATAAATGTTGTGCCATGTGCCTATATGTTAGAGACACTCCCAATTAATGAGAGAGCAGCATGATTTTGTATACATTTCTTGTATATATTCCTACACAGTGTATTAAAAAAAGAAAAGTCATCATTTTGCTGACAAATGTCTGTATAGTCAAAGCTATGGTTTTTCCACTAGTCATGTAGGGATGTGAGTTGGACCATAAAAAGGCTGAGTGCTGAAGAATTGATCCTTTCACGCTGTGCTGGAGAAGACTCTTGAGAGTCCCTTGGACTGCAAGAAAACCAAACCAGTCCATCCTAAAGTTAATCAACCCTGAATATTCATTGGAAGGACTGATGCTGAAGCTGAAGCTCCAATACTTTGGGCACTTAATATGAAAAGCTCACTCACTGGAAAAGACCCTGATGCTGGGAAAGACTGAAGGCACGAGGAGAAAAGGGCGACAGAGGATGAGATGGTTGGGTGGTATCACCGACTCAGTGGACATGAGTTTGCGCAAAGTCTGGGAGATGGTGAAGGGCAGGGAAGCCTGGCGTGCTGCCGTCCATGGGGCTGCAAAGAGACAGACACGACCTAGCAACTGAACACCACCAAAATACATTACTTATATTTTCATGTACATGTCTCATCTAAGGGTTCTCTTTGCCAAGTAGTGGATGAGTTGACCAGTCTTGTTCAGAATTTCCTCTGGTAAGAGTACTGGAAGGAGAGTTTCTGTGAGATGCGTGTGATGTGAGCTATGACACAGGCGTCAGCCAAGCCATGCCACCCCCTGGGTGGCGGTCGCCCAGCCAGCAGCTGGGGCCCTGGAGGCGAGCCCGCTGTCTGCACACTGCATGTCTGCTTCCTGACTTCCCCTTGCTGCTCGTCACTCTGGCCCTCCGACAAGTGCCTGGGGAAGCGGCATGTGCCCCTGCGCTCTGAGGCTGCAGGGGAGGGGCGACGCGGGTGGGCTGGGCAGGGGCTGTGGGCTCACACACGGCTGGACATGCACTGCAATGAGCAGCAGTGTCCTGTCTCTTCACATTTTTAAATAAATAAAACTTCGAGCAGAAATTCAAGAATCAGGAGTCCTGGGTTCAAATCCCAGGTTTGCCCCCAGACTCCTAGCTGACTCTAAAAGCAAGCCATTTTCACCCCAGGGGAGTTAAAATATCCACATCTCTGTAATTAGAAAAACTATACCAACTTCTACCCAAACATGGTTTGAGAGGCTTACCAAAAAAGATGTGGTGTAAATGGAAAGAATGACACGGATTCACTGAAAACCTAGGATATTAGTCACACAACGAAAGTTACAAGTGCCTACATTATTTGTATCGCTGCCCCTATGAAAAAAGAGCAGCCCAGGAGCTTGAGATGTTCCCTCTAAACAGACGTTTCGAGTTTGTAACCACGGAAGTTTGGCAGTCTTCAAAACCATACAGAAAGGTGCAGCTACAACGTTCTCCAGAATTAAATGGATTCCTAGTCTGAAGTTAAAGCACTTAAGTAGAGTAAATTAAGTTAGCCCCGAATTCCACTTGACAACTGGGATCCCGCCCACTGCTGAATTGCTGTCTGAAAGAACAGAGTCACAATGAATCTGTCTGGTCTGAATCAAAGCCCCAAAGATATATGCTCTGTTCTTATGGTTAATCCTGTGTCAACAACTACATTCTTTCTAAGGTCCTTTACTTAAAAAATTCTGGCACTCTGGATTGCAAAAGGATCTGCTCTGAGGCTTTTCACGGGTGGCCTGGTGTGGCTTCTGCCCCCAGGAAGGCCGGCGGTGTGTGCTGTCACCTCGCTGGTGCTGGCTGCAGCCACTCCAGGGAAAGACTGAGGACAGAGTCTAAGCAGCACGGGTCGCTGGGCTGGGGCCCCATCGGCTCCCCAGGGGGATGGGACAGGCCACCGGCCTCCGAGTCACCTGGTCACTACAGAGAAGAAGGGCCACGTGTTCAGCATACAAGCACCCAGGCTTTCTCTTCCAGAGATGCCCTTCTTCAGGACTGTGCGTATGTGAGAGCTGGTTTTAAAACATGCAGCTCGGAGCGAGAGAGGGCAGACCATGCCTCTACAAACCTACAGAGCTCCCGTGCAGTGACCTCTGAGGGCCTGAGGTGTGACCTGAACGTGGACAACCCGGAAAGTGGATCACATACATACAGTCCACACTGGGCTGTGAAGCCTTAGCACAGAAAAATAAAGGCAGTAAAATGTCTCAATAACTGTGTGTTTAAAGTACATCTAAATGGTGTTTTGGATGCAATGGGTTAGATAAAATATTAAAATTAATCTCATTTTTTTTTATTTTCTCAAATGTGGCTACTAGAAAATTTTAAATTACTTAAAATTAAATGGCTCACATGTGTGGCTTGAATTACTATTATTATCCAATTATTTCTATTGGATAGCCATGTTCTATAACATCTCTTACCTTGGCATGGAAAGAGAAATAAATGTTAGCTTCAATGTGTCTAAATTAACTCATGAAAGTTGAAGAAAATGACATTGGGCTGTGTAAATTGTTTCATTTAGGGATTTTGCAATGTCAAAACAGGAAGGCATAGTCTGCATCATTAAAACCAATATAAATTGTATAGTAGATGGTCTTTAGGCTTTCATGGAAAAGTGTCTATCAAGCTGGAATCATATTCTCAGATTCTGAACCTTACAGTATGCGCGACTCCAGCCCTCACACTGAAGATGAGAAAACCACTAGTCGGAGTGTTTGCAGCTCCCGGGTCAGAGGCAGCTGCTCGGGGCTGAGGGGCACGCGGCCCTGTGCGTCAGGCCACACGGGCCGGGAAGCAGCAGGTACAGACACTCAGGATTTCACGCTCCATTTGGAGATAAATTCCAGGAGCACGTATTTTATTTTAATAAAAACAGCTCATGAGGCGAAGGCCCTCTAGGAAATATGATACAAGTATTTCTCTGAATAATTGAGTATTAGCTTTAAAAAAATTGCTATGGGAAAACTGGTATCCTGCTTTTAAGAAAACTCACCAATAACTCTGGAGAAAGGGCAAGTGATTCATTTTACCACAAGAAAGCTCACAGCATTAGCCATCACCTAGAACTGTTCCACAAGACTCCCGACTGTCGCAGTGACCGATCGCTGAGTGAGGACAGCCTGGGTTATCTGTTCATCCCCAGGGCAGAAGCCCCATCTTTCAAGGTGGTCCAGCACAGGACGGGTTCCCAGAGCCCAGATCCCACAGGCAGGGACCCAGCGAAGGTTGCGTTCGCCTCTGACGCCGGGACAGCGGCGGTGCGCACCACACACTTGATGTGGGCGGCAGACAGGGCCGTCTGTAAGAGCCGCCCCTTTCCCCACGTGCGGACACCGTCTCCAGGGCCTCGCTGGTGTCCCCTGCAGGGCCTGCCGAAAGCCCAGCTGCGCTGTCTCTGCACCTTTAACACCAGATGTGCAGTCAGGTAACGCCCTGCATCCCTACCACGGAAAGCAGCTTTTCTCAAATGAAAACTGGAGTGCGCCCGCTGGGTTTGGAGAACATTTCCATCCCAAAATAAGCTTCTAAGCACAGAGACAGAAATGGTCACTCTCCTGATAACTGTTTTACCACCCTCTGTCAAATTAGGGAAAATGGCAGGGGAAAAAAAAAAAACCCAACCTTTATATAGTCATTTCTGTGTGCCTGTTCTTTCCGCCATTTAAAACGACGGTGGAGCTGGCAAGAAAGTGAGCCACAGGCAGGGGGGTGATGCGGCCTCATGTCTCACTGGCTCCTTTTCCAGGGGACAGAGTGGGGACCGACAAAGGAAGACACCACACACGCACGTCAATGGTGTAACCCACCCACTAAAGGGCCTCAGTGCTCCTCGTTAACTTGCACTGGTCTCAAATTTTAGCTTTTATTCTCCTCTTGAAATAAAAAGACGAGCATCCCTTCACGTCTGTGTACCTTCAAGCCGTGGCATTCAGGCTCCACGAGGCCGGGGAACACCACAGACAACCGACTCTCTATGCGGGCTTTCCGTCCACCTCTCCAGACCCTTCCTTGTGGTCGTTCAGTCACTCAGGCATGTCCAACTCTTTGTGACCCCATGGACTGCAGCACGCCAGGCCTCCCTGTCCTTCACCATCTAAGAAATCCTAGGCTGAGGGGGAGGATCAGGATGTCACAGCCCTGTTCCTCCAGTGTTGATCCTTCCTAAGCACTAAAAAGAAGTCACTTAAAGAATCCTGGCGAAGACTAATTAAATCCGGGTCCTTCCCACATGCTAGGCATTATGTTACACACTGCTCTTATGCACTGAAATCTGAGACAAGACCTGCACGCTGGTCAGTAGATATGAGACCAAGAAAAACTACAACAAGAGAGAAAAAGATGCCCGGGGGGGTCTTCTCTCCATAGCTCGTGGGTCTGAGCTGCTGGGTGATGTGGGTGTGGGGAAGATGAACAAAACCATTATTTTGTAAAAAAAAAAAAAAAAGTTTAATTTGTTTCTAGAAACAGTGATTTATATTTAAAAGTAGCATTTTAGAAAATGAAATAAGTGCACATTTGCTCAAAGGGTTTTCAAAACAGGAATGTTACAACATAAAGATACAGTATTTCACCTCCACACATACAGGCATCTGTGGGAACACAGTCACTGATAGGACCTCTGCCTGCACCGGAAGAGACCGCCTTTTAAAAGCAGACCCGCCTCCTCCACGGTCACAGGAAACAGGAGCTGAGTGGGGAGTCTCTTTCAGTCATAACACTTACTGTTACCATTTATTGTTAATTTGAGTCTTTATTGTTGCTATACGATCCTTTTAGAAAACTGGCTAACATATATACTATAGTTCATGTATATATTTATTGTTGTTTAGTTGCTAAGTCGTGCCCAACTCTGTGACCCTGTGGACTGTAGCCCACCAGACTCCTCTGTCCATGGGATTCTCCAGGCAAGAAGACTGGTGGGGCTTCCATTCCTTTCTCCAAGGGATCTTCCCAACCCAGGGGTTGAACCCGTGTCTCCTGCATTGCAGGCAGATTCTTTATCACCGAGCCACACAGGAGCTCTTGTAGATATATATATATGTAAACAAAACACAGAGTATTTTTTCAGCCACAAAAAGGAATGAAATCCTGCCATTCGCAGCATGGATGGACCTGGAGGGCATCACGCTGAGTGAGTGAGTCAGACAGAGACGGACAGACAGTGCCCACCCTCACTCAATGCTAAAAGATACAGCAAGCAAAAACACGGAACCTACAGATACAGAGCCAGGTGGGGGCAGGAGTGAGGATAACGGCAACAGCAACGGGTGAGGGCGGTCAAGAGCCAGACCCTCCAGGTGAGGCCGGGGGTGGGCGGACGGCGGGTGGCACGCTCAGCACTGCGCTGCTGCGCCCTTGAGAGATGCTCAGAGTAGATCTCAGACGTGTTCATCACAAGCTTAAAAAAACTGTAACGGTGTAAGGTGACAGATGCTGCCTAGGCTTATCATGGTGATCATTCTGCAACATATACCAACATCAAATCATGATGCTGCACATTCAAAACTAACATATGCCAACTAGCTCGCAATTAAAAAAAAAAAAGCAAAACCTATTGTTACCTGACCCTAATTTAAGAAAACTTGTACTGCTGTGAACATGTCCAGTCCATCCACAGTCACCTTGGGCAGCTGACATGCAAACTTAGTAGCTCCATATCTAAAAGAAATTTTAGAAGCAAGGTTTCTTCCTCAAAGAATAGAATGCTGTAATTCTTTTTAAAAGACTATATTTCAGTTACAGAAAAAAAATAATACTATGTCAAAAATGACAACAATATGCATTTTTTTCCACCTTGGAAACTTTAGACTTGAAAGCCGCCCATAGTGTAACTTTTCCAGCGCTCCAGTTGAGTTCTGAGACCACCAGAGTAACAGCAGCGTTCAGAAACCGCAGGGCCGGCCTGGCTAGAATACACACACGGCCGCCGAGGGGCCGGAAACGCAGCCAGATGGTTCTGCTGAGGGAGGCACTTTTCTTCTTTATAAAACCAAAAAGGCAGTAATAGGTCAAACACAAAAATGCAGATACGGTAGAACCGAGAGCTAGCGGGAGACTGATGTCAGTGAGACAGGCACAGCCTCGTGCGGTGCGCCCATCGACAGCAGCCGGTGAAGGCAGGGAGATAAAGCGAGGAGACGCAACCCCGTCGGCCCAGACCAGACACCGGAGTGGTTCGGCGAGGCCACCGAGGCCTGGAAACCAAGCACATGTGAGGGTGTTAGACTGGGCACTTATGGAGGATCACAAAAACAGCAAAAATGAACTCTGTCCCAAGCCTGAGGGAGAGACAGGCTGCACACGGGTTGCTGGCCTGTCCATCTCAGCCCCCTGTCAGGACCCCAGGAAGCCCTTTCCGGGACGGCGTTCAACACCGGGTCCGGAGGTGGCCGGCACAGCAGGGACAGCAGGGTGCTGGACCGAGAGCTCTGAGCCACCCAGGCCGGTCGGAGCCGGGCCTCCCGCGAGCAGGCATGCGGCCCAGGCAGGCCCTCCCAGGAGAGTCTTGGGAGGGGAAGACCTGTCCCCACGAGCCCCAGCAGAGCAGAGCAGGGCAGGGTGGCCGCAGGCCCAGGCTCACCTGAAGGTCTGTGGCCTTCTCTTCTGGGCAAGGGGGTACTCACAGGGCGGGTGGGGTCAACCTGGGGCCACTGGAGGGGCCAGGATCTGAGAAGCGTGGACTCCCAGCCAAGAGGAGAGACTGGCCTGAGAGGGGAAAGGGGCTGCAAAACCCCTCCCTTCATGTTTAACACAGATTGTGTGCTTGTCATGGTTTCCATGGAAGGCGGGTGACTGCAGGTCGCAGGTCCCCAGTGGGTCCAGGCCTGGGGCCCCAGGGGCTCCTGCAGCTGCAAGGGCCTTCGGAGCACAAGGCCAGGGCCTCACCCTGCAGACATTGAGACCCCATCAGAGACACACTCAAGCGAGGGTGCAGGAGCTGCCACTTTACTGGAGAGACGGGGGGAGAGAGACGGGGGGAGGGAGAGGGGGACCCCCGGGGGTCCCCCGGAAGCAGGCCCCGAGCTTCACGGCTGCTCGGAGCCTGCCGAGGTCGTGAGCCAAGGGCAGCTGAGCTGGACCCGGGCTTGCGGGGCTCAGGTTACAGGTGACTCACGGCCACGCCGCCCGCTGACGCCGGTTCCCAGAGCCGCCCGCGGACAGTTCACTACAATGAGGCCTTCAGCGGCCTCTGACAACAAGCAATGGAATTCAAGCCACCTCGGCCCTTTCTTCCAACTTCTCACTCCAGAGTTTCTGAAGATAAGGATCAAATGAAGTGATTTCTGTTAAACCTGTATTTCCTGTACGGAGCTGATACCTTCCCCAGACGACACGACGGTACAAGCACGCCACAGCGGAAGTCCCTGCTTGGAACCGCGGGCCGCCTCCCCTCCTTGCACAGCTGCTGCGGCTTCTTCCTGACCCGGGTCCTCGGGCCTCGGCTCCGTCTCTCGGGGCAGGGAGGGGGGTGCCCAAAGCCAGCAGCACAAATGCTGTCTCATCCTTGATTCCCGGGGAGGGTCGACGCTGGGGGTCAGTGCAAAACACGACTTCTACATCTCATGAGAAGGTCTAAAGGCGCCAAGAACCCACCCGAAAAGGCCACGCAGCATCACAGTCAGGCCAGGCCTGCGGGCCAGGGCGTCTCCATTCAAAGCCAGCCTTGCCCTGTGAAAAATGCACATAATAATCCCTGCTCTCCTAACCACGGTCTGACATTTGTCAGGAGAATCAGATCCAAAGATGGGACTGATAAAGCACCACACAAACACAAGAGGATAACCTTCGGGGCTTAAAAAAAAAAAAAGTCCAGTGAAAGCACTTTTTATTTTGTTTTCAGTCTGTTGAAAACACTTTTTATTTTGTTTCCAAACTTGAAATTTAAGATTCAGTGAAAGTCAACAAGTAATTCCCGAGCCATAGGAGACACCATAAGAAAAAAAGCCCGCGAAACCATGGCGACGCCCAGGCCCGGATCTCTGTGGTGCCGCTGCCACGCGCGGGATGAGCGTGGGGACCACAGACGCGGTCCCAGGCTGGCCAGGTCACGGTCACGGCCAGGAATGCACCCCGCCTCCCAGACTCTGCCTGGCGGCCCCCAGCCCGCCCACAGGGGAGCCAGCACAGGCAGACCCCAGCCCCAGCGCCAGAGTTCTGATCACAGGAGAGGAAGGGACGCTTGGAGAGCCCGAGGTCCTGCAGGACGACCTCCCTTTGCGCCACAGTTCAGAGACTCCTGCCACCAATTCTGCCAAAGAGCTGCCTACGAGTCATGAAGTCAACTTTTACACATATTGAAAAACAAAGACAAATCATTACAAAGTGAGCATCTCATATGTGTGTGTGTGGCAGGGGGTGGGGGAGGGTTGGAATGGAGAGAAAGTTTCCAGTACCTGTGACAGAAATCTTGCTCTATCGAAGAATCCTGCACCAGTGATGCACTTGAAAACTGAGCAGAAACATAGCATGGATCCCACAGATCAAGAGGTTTGTAAGGAACGGGTGTCAACGTTATCAGTCACGCTGCGGGCAACTGATCTTACAAACTCACTCTGTGATTTTTAAATTTGGTCTTATAAATCAGGGCCAATGTACCATTCTTTCTATGTTTTCCATATGCTCAGATAACCTTTTAAAAATAGGAATCAAGTCTAGTGATAGTACTGATAGAACCTAGAGGTCCTCAGGAGACTGACCCAAAATGAGAATGTGTGAGCACTGCTCGGCGTTCCTTCGTGGCCAGAGTGCAATAAGAGAGAAACCTGCCTAAGCACGTTTGGCTGGGGTCAAGAAAATGCATCACAACTAAAACCTAAATGTGGTAAGAGTGTGTTTTGTGGAAAATGTCTTATGCTAAGTATAGGAAACAATGCTTTAGAAGTAAGAGAAATCAAACACATCCCATATTTTTATAAATTCATTTTTAGACACATTATGAAGAAGTAATCGACAGGGAGGGTCCATTCCTTCCACGTATTTACAGGGCGCCTGTTCTGTACCAGGTGTTTTGTGAGGCACGATGACAAGGGAGAGGGACAAACCCCAATCGGTGGGGGGCGGGCCCAGGTGGCCAACCTCATCCTGTGTTTGTGGAGGAGGGATTTCATTCTCCGAGATTTCAGGTCTCAGACTCTGCAGGAAGTGATGGACAAGGAGGTAGGTTCAACCATTTTCGTTATGAAATGAGAAAGTGCGGCAAAAGTGACCTCAGATATTTTGCGTAACTCAGAGGAAGTGGGGGACGCGGGGCTGCCCAGCAGTTTTGCATCTTTCTTCAGGGTCTTCACTAGTCACGTCCGCATGAGGCTCTGTCAGCAACACCAACCGTTTCACAAACGGCTTCTCAATTTTGCCTTCAGGTAATTCTGCTTCTGTAAAACTTTGCCTGTGAATTATTCGGGCTTCGTGGAAGCCCCATCCATGATTTTCTTTGCTAAAATGAGACGGGGTCTTCACTCAGTCCCCCAGGCTTGTCCCCCTGGGCACCCTGAACTTGTGAGCAGGATACAACCATGGCCTCTGGAACCACTTGAAAGGCCACCTGTAAAACATTTTGGAAATTTGGTTCCAAGAGGATGATGGCTCCTGCAGACACCTGAACCACAGTAAGGTTCAAGAACTGGAATATAAAGTCAGTACCCTATCCTGAAGCTATTTAACTAGCAAGTCAAAGTGTCAACCATTTCATTTCTGCACAACAAGAGTCCCCAGCACTGCTGCCTCCTATAAAATCATCACTAAATGCAGGTGATGTCAGCCTTTATGAGAGGCAATTACATCCATATCTCAGCAAGTCTTGTCACTGCGATTAAACAGCCAGTTCTCATCGTGGGCGGAAGCAGACAGGAAGTGGGTGCCAGCAGGGACAGACGGGAAGGCACAGGAGCAGACACGCGAGAGTCTGCCAGCGAGGGGGCAACAGGGAGGGCAACTGCGGGCTGCAGCCCAGAGGCGGGGGCCGTCCAAGGACCCTCGTCAGACCCTGAAAAAGAGTGAGCGCCACCACTCACACGGTCATCTTCAGGAGCAGACACGCGAGAGTCGGCCGGCGAGGGGGCAACAGGGAGGGCAGCTGCGGGCCGCAGCCCAGAGGCGGGGGCTGTCCAGGGACCCTTGTCAGACCCTGAAAAAGAGTGAGCGCCACCACTCACATGGTCATCTTCAGGAGCAGACCCATGACTCCCTTGGGGGCGCGGGGTCACCTGATGACCCAAGGTGTGACGACGCCACGAGGGGGTGGGGTGGAGGGCGGGGCCCAGGCCGCTGCTGAAGGTGGGTAATTCTGCCCCTGAGCAGGTGCGGGGCGTCTGCCCGGCATGGCATCTGCTGAGCCGGCAACCCCACCTAGATGCGCTTTCCTCCTCTCCACGCACACGTGCACAGGTGCGTGCACACACACATACCCCTTTGCCAAGAACTGCTCTTCCGATGCAAGGTCAGATATTCCATTCTACCTTTGTAAAATACAACTGAAAATCTGATCTTGCAACGTCTCTGATCCCGATGCTGGGACTTACCTGTGGATGAAAACTTAAGGAGTAACCCAACCCATCCTAGACGCTTCATTCGTCAACATGATGACACAGACAGGACCTACAGTGTATGGGGTGTGGGGCCCATGGCCACTCCTGGGGTGTCACCCCCAACCAGTCAAGACCTGGCCAAGGAAATGTGGCTACGGTGACCTTCAGCATCTCTGCCGGGTATGGCCTGACTAGCAACCCGCTTCAGAGACCACTGACTCTGAGAGACTCAACCCTGACAAGAGACCAACTCCTCTTCTGAACGCGAAGAAGAGGTGCCGCAGTGAGCCAGCTCCCCTTAAATAGTCTCCAGGCGCTCCCACGGCATCTCCCCCCAGATCTGTGTGAATGAGCGCAGGGCGGATATGCCCGCAGCAGCCTGCACGTGGGGCGAGGGGCCCAGGAAGAGCGGGCAGCTCCCCCAGCTCGGCCGCCGGGCTCCTGTCCGGCCGGAGGCCTCCGCTCTGCTGGGTCTCCGTCCCCCAAGAGCACAGCCCTCGAGTTCTTGTGGAGACAAGGTGCAGCTCTGACGCACGAGCCCGGCCTGGGCACAGGCTGTGCTGAGGGCACGCGCACAGTTAAGAAGACGAAATTATTTTCACAGTGTGAACTGTCAGCTGACCTTATCCCAAAAGAAATGCAAGTTTACAGAATTTGGGTGATGGATATATGTGGCCGTTCACAGTAAAATCCAGTCAACAATTCTGAACCTTTAACAATGTTTCCAATAAAACAATAAAAAAAAGGTGTAACTGCACACCACTTGTTTACCCTAAAGTACAATATAGTTTAAAATAGAATTTATGTTCTTCATTTCAAGCTGAAATATCTCTTACCCACTCAAATAATGTTTTAATCATCTTCATCTCAAAGCTAGACTATGAAACAGAAGTTAACGGATCTGAATCAGCAACATGAAATGGCTTTGTATAAATTGCCGGGAAAATGTTCCCAAGACAGACAGATTCCCATCATGGATGTACAGCACGTAAAGGTGAAGGCTAATTCTTAATAGGACTGCTATTTGTCCTTTTCAAAGATCGATAAATTGATACATAAACCTTGTAGAGACTGTGGCAAAAATCACTAGCCCAGGTGGGACCATCTATACCCAGTCCAGCAAACTCTCTCTACTCCTCCTCTCTGAAATCCATCCACAAGTAAAAAGTATAAGTTGCTTAACCTAAAGACTTATCGATACATTTATGTACAAATGAGAGGGATTCTATAATTAAAGCGTGTGTAAACAAGATGCTATTGTGATTCGTTTGATCTGTGCTGGCTGAGGCTTCTCAGCTCTAAGACTGATTAGAGTGCCAGGATCTAGATATGGGTTAATCAAACAAGGTTCCTGTTTTTTCATTCTTAGGCTTGTTGATTTTAATTTTGGCCACACCTACCTTAACTCATAAGTCTGTGAAGTAGCTTCATTTTAATATAGTTAGAATTGCCAAGGATGGTCCTATTTCTTAAAATGGGGATGAAAGTTATGAATTTTTATTTAATGATGACACTTTTTTTGGAAATCATGAAACGTCAATTTCTTTCAGAACCTGTAAATGAGAAAGTGGTCTTTTCAGCATCAGTATCTGTTACTGTCGGATCCCCGGGAGCCCTCAACACGCAGAGCCCACCTGTGCAGGGCACAGACCAGGCCATGGATGCCAGGGATGGCTGGCTCTGAGCGTGCATCTCTGGAATGCGAAAACACCACACTGTCCCTGGGGAGCCAGGCCCTCCTGCTCTCATGCCTTACTCTCCAGGGCAGTTTAGCACCTGGGGTTGCTGGGCTAACACATCTCGTCAAGGAATCTTAAACATGACATCATTTGGGAAGACCTTTAGAAGTCTTTGAGCCAAGATGTTTCTGAAATAATTCCCTGTTCCACGAACACAGACAGGGGTCCTTTGCGCCGAGGTCTGCGTGACCCCCTGAGCCGAGGTGCGCTTGGCATTTCGGGATGAAATGACCCCGCAGTCCCCACGCAGACCCAGTGAGCTCCCGGAGGGGTTTGCACTACTTCTGCATTTACCCAACGGTCTCATGCATTTTTGTTGGATTTTTCTGGCATGTTTTCCAAATGCCATTTATTTTTTTCCCTGATTGAAAAAGTTTGTATGTACTTGTTTCAATACATGGAAAATACAGAAGTCTACAGAAGAAAATAAACATAACCAAAAATAAGTATTACTAACATTTTGATATACTGTTTATTGCATTATCAAGATCTATTTCTGAGTTCCAACACAAACTTCTTCTGAATCCCAGTGCAAAAACATAAAATAGAATGAAATTTGATCTATTTGGTTCCAAAACTGCAGAACAAGACTTTGGATAAAGATGGATACCCTCACAGCCTTCTAAGTTAGCTGCAGGTATTTGCAGAGAGCTAGAAGGTTATATGCCAAAATGACAGTATTGAAAAAACAATTATTTTTACAAAACTTGCCTTGTATTCTTAAGAAGGGGAGGCCAGATAGGTTAGATGAAAGAAAGTTTCAGGTTCTTTTACATCACCTTTCGCCCACTGTCTCATAGTTTTTAAAAGTGTGGACTTCTGTACTTCTTTAATGCAATGTTCTTAAAGTATATCCAAGGGCTACCATCACAAAAAGCTTCATTTTGTTTACAGCTCAAAAGAACACATGTAAATGATCTAAATGTTTCACTGCTGTGCAAAATATTAAATCAGAATTTTGGGGGCCATGCTATAAATCAAAATGCAGATATTTAAGTAAGCAACATTTTAACTGTCACAAACAGAAGCAGTAACACAGCGGAGCCAGCCTCTGTGTCAGCGAGGGAACTCGCGTTTGCTTTCTTTTGTAAACGGTAAAGTTTCTTTTTGAACCACATCAATGAACAAGGGAGCCAGATCCGGTTTCCCAGAGGCATCACTGGGAACAGAAATAGTTCTGAGCGCAGGAAATCGGTGAGCACCTAAACAGGCACCGCGGGCTCCGGGACAAACACCCCATCACCAACACACTCCTTCACGTCTCGCCACGGAAATGCCAGATATCAGCAAGGTAAAGGTAACGATTTGTTCACAGAAAAATCATGCTACTTACGTGTACATTAAATAACGTACATGAGCCAAACTGAAATGTAACGTGCGCGTAAATTCTGAGACTGGAGCCTAAATCCCCTCGAACAATGCCTGCTGCTCTGCAACAGCGTCCCTGCTAGCATCTCTCTTGCTCTTTCTTTAATGGACAGAATTCGCGGGTGGGAGTCACAGGCTGCCCAGGGTGGGGGGGAAGCAGAGTCTGAAGCAGCAGGAACCACGCTCTCTGAGGACAGCACTCAGGAATGAGCCAGCACACCTGCTGAAGGGCGCGGTCATACAGACTGGCAGCGACATCAGTCCCAGTAGTGTTTCTGGGGGGTCTGAGCACCAGTTCTGTTCACCAACAGATCCTCTCACAGGCCGTCACTCGCATCGTGGGTGGGAAGAGGGAGGAGGCACGCGGAAGACACTCCAGAAAGGAAAGAACACCATGCATTTTCTGTCCACCGTCCAGCCCACTGGCCGGCATCCTCGTTTTCAATAATTAAAACGATGACTGTGAGGGGCTCCCCCTCTGCACTAGGCAGGACAGCCTGCACACACTGCTGATCGTGGGCCAGCAGGGGCCACGGTGTGAGCTGAGACGCAGCTGCATGGGCACGCTGACCCGCCGCCCCCGCCAGGCAGCCCTCCCAGGAGGCCTGGCTCTCACTCGGACAAGCAGACGCAGATACTCAGAGACCAGAACGCATTGGTTCCTACCTCCACATAGTCCTTGGCATGGCCCCAATCTCGTTTGGCATCCAGATTTCCCAAACTGAAACATTCCAGTTGTCCAAGGTGAATCTTAGCTACTGAGCGGCTAATTTTCCGAGTAACAAAATTAGCTCCTAAAAGAGACAAAAGATGTATTATCAGTTGAGTGATTTTGACATTTAACAGTTTGGTGAACCAAACACAATCTTGAGCCTCTGGGCATTTCTTCCATCCCCTCCCCCCTCTAAAACAATAACAAAAGGAAACGACAGAGACCACGGCTGTCACTTAGGCAAGCTCAGGAGCCCCACTGGAGCATCACGCCTGCTCCACGGCCACGGCGAACATTTGGGGGCCGTCTTGGCATCCCCCACATGCTGCAACACGCAAGCAGGCCCCAGGCCAGAGAGCAGCTCTCAGAAGGCCAGTCTTCACACAGAAAATTCAACTGGGTTGGGCAAAGGGAAATGCCAGAATCTGTAATAAGACCACCCTCATTTTTTAAGAACATAAACATCATGCATTCCTATTAATAAAACTATTTCAGGGTTCATGGGGAGAAAGAGAGGAGACTAACCTGCCTCCCAGGTGGGACCACAGGAAACAAACAAGAAATGCATGTGGCTGCTGGAAGGGGGGTGGTCCATCCTTCTTTATCTAAAGAAGGCTGAGTGCCAAAGAATTGATGCTCTTGAACTGTGGTGTTGGAGAAGACCCTTGAGAGTCCCTTGGACAGCAAGGAGATCAAACCAGTCAATCCTAAAGGAAATCAACCCTGAATATTCTTTGGAAGAACTGATGATGAAGCTGGAGCTCCAATACTTTGGCCACCTGATGTAAAGAGCCAGCTCACTGGAAAAGTTCCTGATGGTGGGAAAGACTGAGGGCAGGAGAAGGGGGCGACAGAGGATAAGATAGTTGGGTGGCATCACTGACTCAATGGACAGGAACTTGGGCAAACTCCGGGAGATGGTGAAGGACGGGGAAGCCTGGTGAGCTGCAGGCCACGGGGTCGCAGAGTCAGACATGACTGAGTGACTGAACGACAACAGCGGTGGCTATCCAGGCCTGAGTCTGAACTTCCAAGACTCTCTGTGCTGACTACAGTGTCACCTTCTAGAGTCACCCAAGTGTTATCTACAGGCAGCATTTCCGAATTCACTATAAGTATTTTGAAATGATCGGATGAAAGGTATCATACCCAAAAGGAGTGAAACTGTTTTAATGTTCTCTGGTCTTTAATGAAAGCCTCTATCCACTATTAAAAGATCACAAAGAAGGAGAAAATTAAAAGGCACTTCTGAGGCAGCTTTATCTATGCCCCCGCATCTAAGTAAGGTTATCACAAAGCTACCAAAATCTCAAGGTAATTAACAGGCACGTGAGCTGGTCAATGGTGGCGTCACACAGTTTAGACAGATTGCCATCATAATTTAATCACATTTCAGTAACTTTAGCTTTGTTCTTCTGCAGAAGAAACAGGGAGGTGAGTGTTGTGACAAAAGCGTGGGCTTGTAGACAAACTGACACAGAGATAAGGGGGATTCTTACAAATAGGTTTTCTCAACTTTGGCAAGAAGAGCCCAGCACACGTTCAAACACACAGCAGACTCACTGCACAAACTTGGCAAATGCATTTATACCAATGCCCTACCACGAGTGACAGTGACAATCTGAATTTTCAGCCTCTCTTGGCTGTTAGTAGAGTGCTTTAAAAAATTCAGCTTCAACTTTGCAAGGCACTTTATAATACACATAAGAGCTCCTTCCAAAAAGAGCCTTTGAATACAAAGTATTTATCAGGCACAATCCTTTTCAATCTACTACCAATTAGCAACTTTTAATTTACTATTAATTTAAAGTGACAATTAAATTTAGGCTTGATGTCTATCTTTGTATTTTAGTGTCAGGACCATGCTATCATCCTGAAGTTCCCTGGATAAATTTGTGATGTCAATTCACCTATGTTACATGACTTAGTACTTCCTTCTTTGTGGCCAAATGGACAAGGACACACTGCATTTCTATATCCGTTAATCAGCACACGACCACTGGACTGTTTCCATCTCTTGGCTGTCGTGAACGGTGCTCCAGTCAACGTGGGGGCACACCTTTCTGTGTGGGGATCAAGTGTGCATTTCTCCCAGAATTACTGGGTCCCAGGTCAGCTCCACGGAGCCTCCCTGGTGGCTGAGCACTAAACACTCTGCCTGCAATGCTGAGACGCAGGTTCACGCCCCGGGTCGGGAAGGTCCCCTGGAGGAGGAAATGGCAGCCCACTCCAGGACTCCGTCCTGGGAAATCCCATGGACAGAGGAGCCTGGCGGGCTGCAGCCCATGGGGCTGTACAGAGTCAGACAGGCTTGGAGCGATGCAGCGCTCGCGCGCAGGGCAGCTCCACAGCGAACCCATCGATCAGCCGCCAGGTGCCGGCACAGCCGTTCGCCAGCTGTGTGCTCACCAACAGCGACTGGGTTCTCATTCCTTCACCTCCTCCCCAACAACTGTATGGTTTTATCTTTTTAGTGACAGTCATCCTCGTGGGTACTTAAGTGTTATCTCCTTGGGGTTTTGATTTGCGTTTCTCTGACAACTAATGACATTAAGCACCTGCATTTTCATGTACTTATCAGCCACTGGTATATCTTCTTTGGAGATATGTCTAAGCAGGTTTTTTGTCCAATTTTTAAAGGACGATGTCACTGGTCTTTTTAATCTTGAGTTGTAAGATATATTATGGGTCCAAAACCTTTATCAGACATGACTTACAAACATTTTCTCTCATTGTATAAGTTATATTTTAACTTTCTTGATGGTGTCCTTTCACACACAATTATTTTTTTAGTTTTGTGAAATTCAATTTGTCTTTTTTTTTTTTTTTTAACTGTGTGAGCTTTTGGTGTCATATCCAAAAGGGCTTTGCCAACCCAAGGACGGTCTTGAAGATTTTCTCCTGTATGTTTAACACCTTGGGTTGATTTGGTTCTTACATGTAGGTATCTGACCTGGTTCCAGTTCATCTGTGTATGGTGAGAAGAAAAGGGCCCTGCTTCAGCCCTTGCGTGTGGCTATAGGGCAGCCTTGGTACAGTGTGTGTGCTGGAAAGGCTATTCTTTCTCCCATCTGAATGGCCTTTCTGCTGAAAGTCGATTAACCATGGACACACGGGCTCATCACTGACCTTCAGTCCTGTTCCACAGACCTAACACCTGCTGGCATGTGAGAGCCACGCATGTGATCAGTACAGGTCTGTGGGAAGCGTCACAGCCAGGAAGTGTGAGTCTTCCGACTGTTCTTTCTGTTTCACTTTTTCTCAGTCCCTTGAACTTCTGCGTGAATTTTAGGACCAGTCTGTTGATTATGCACGAAAGGGGCCCGACTTTGCAGGAATGGTGTTGACCGTGCAGATCGGGGTGGGGGGGGTGGGGCGGGGGAGCTGTCCATTCTGACAGCACATCATCTTCCTGCTCATCAGATGGTGGGAGGGGGCTTCCACTGATCTGGGGCTTATCCAGTTGCTTTCAGCAATGTTGAGTAGTTTCTAGAGAATACATTTTCCACTTTTTGTTAAATTTGTTTCTAAGTAGCTTACTCCCTATGATGTTATTATAAGTGTAACTTCTCATGATTTCCTTTTCAGATTCATTTTCAACATTTTTATTGCCACCATGTTTCACTAGTTAATTCCTGGGAGAGGCTTAAAGTGATTGTTTTTTTTTTTCAATTTGTTCTTCCCATAGAGCTGAGTGCCTGGGTCTCAGTGGTAAAGAATCTGCCTGCAATGCAGGAGACCTGGATTCGATCCCTGGGTTGAGAAGATCCCCTGGAGGAGGAGATAGAACTCTTGCCTGGGAAATTCCATGGACAGAGGAGCCTGGTGGGCCACAGTCCATGTGGTCACAGAGAGTCGGACACGACTGAGTGGCTGAGCATGCACGCACGTGCTTCATTTCCACTCATTACACAAGCTTCTTGTTCTTTGGAGAGAACTAGACAAAGTCACTTCACCTGAGGGCTGAGGCCTTGGCGGGCACCCTGTCCAGCCAGGCTCGGCGTGCAGATGAAGGAGGGAAGGCCCAGGGCCCGGGCTGGGCCGCCCCCGGCTCCTGCCGTTGATGCGGGCACCAGCCTGCCCCCGGCGCAGGAGGCGTCCCCCAGAGCAGGAGGCATCTCCCTGGACGGGTTAGGGTGTGGTGTGTGGCACAGCACACAGGGAATGGAGCATCTGTGAGCATACACATACGCGCTTGATTTCCAGTAGCCTTAAGCCGCAAGACCTCAGCCAGGATGAAGGCCAAGAGACGGAAATTCGGCCCAGTGAACCGACCGGAGGCTGCTGGCCGTGGGCTCTGCCACCCAGACCACGTGGCACTCTGAACACCGGCAGGACAGGCACAGCTGCCTGGCCAAGCCTCGGGCACCCACCCGGGGGACCCAGCACGGCAGACCGTGAACCATCACAGGCACAGAAGGAATCAGGATCATCAGGTCTTAGTTTGTAAAACAGGGATCATAACAGGACTTACCGTGTAGGTCTGCTGTTTCAGAAAACCTAGGTAAATGTGATTAAGGAATTCTCAGTAAGTGTCACCTATTATTATAACTATTACATTACAAAGTTAATGGTACCTGTAATTAAACCTCAATGAGAAGTCCAGATTTCTTAGTTTGTTCATGACTAAGTCCCTTAATTCTCTGATTTTGGAAGTCTGAGAATGAGAATAGATCTAAATAAACAGCCAGAGGCAGGCAGGTGGACTGGCACACCAAAAGCACCAATAACCATCTCTTATATTGTATGTTGTAGGTTACTTTTTCAAGGTATATTCACTAGCCAAGGAAAAACAGAATACACACAAAAATGTATACTAATAAGAAGGAAACCAATCAAAATGGGTTTTAGTCCAAATACTAACTGAGATTGAGATCAGGAGCTTTTCTAGCATTGACAGAATGAAAAGTTCAGAACTTTTACTTTGGCAAATAGCAGACAAGAAAACCACCCCATTAAAAAACGCCAATCTATGCTGGATGAAATATGATGACGATTCACTGAATTTCAAAGCTGAGTCTCACACACCGCCTGGGTCACAGGTGGGCCCCGAGGGGTCAGGCTGGGAGTGGGTGGGGCGTC